AAGGAACAAAGGTGAATGCCCCACCCATACCCCAGAAAAAAGTTCACCTTCTCTTGCTCATCACACCCAATTTCTAGGATTTATATTTCAGTACCTTTGAATCATCAGAATGGAGGCTTCCTGTCTGCCTTTAAACACAGTTAAACTTGAAGAAATGTTGCAAGATACTTTGAAAAGCGTATCACTCCACCCATGCTGATCTAAATTACTTTGGCCAAGGAAGTCTGGCATTGAAAAAGCACATGGTTTTACAAATTTGTGGTTGCTTAATGATGAAAACAAGACCTTGGCAGAGCAAATATAACTGACATGAATCCTGTTAGGCAAACAAGTTCACACAATTAACTTCACCCTGACCCATGATCAGTCCACACTAAGTACTATTTAAGTTGAGGTATTGTTTTATAGTTCTGCATACCTTGAGCCTCTGCAGGGCATGGTAATACCCTCCTTTTGTTTATCAGGGACCTTATTCTGGCTCCAATTCTGTTGGCACTTAGCCACCCAAGTTCACTATTAGAAGTAACAATATGTGTAACCACTGCAGTGCATCCATGCAGTGTACAGTGATTGAAACAATGAAAGTAACACAATAAAAACAAAAACAGCACAAACTAAAACATTAAAACAACTATATGATTAAAAATCTGGATTTAAAAGGCCAGATTTTTTTAAAAAAAAATGTGTCTTCACACCCCTTCTAACAGCCAAGAGGATGGAGACCAATCATAGTTCTTGGGGAAGGACATTCCACTATTTGGGCACGGCAAAGGGGAAAACCCTTTCACACATGCCCAGCAAATGCACCTCTCCTGCAGGATCTTAATAACCAGGAAGGTTTATAGCTTGACATGCAATAGCTACAGCCTAAGCCATTCCAGGGCTTTAAAGATTAAAGCCAACACCTGAACTCAGTCCAAAAAGCAACAGGTAGCCAGGTCTTAAAAGACAGCTGTAATACAGTTCTGCTGTCTAATGCATTCATATCGGCAGGGAGAAGCCCTACACCCATTGTTCTTGGGATGCATAGGCTTTCTTCCTTCAGGCATCCACACCTGGGTTTGCTCGTTAAAAGGCTCTTAAGGCAACTAACTGAAAATTACGAAGTGCAAATCAAAGTCAGGTTAGTAAAACCTCAATAAAATGAGGATTAGCTCAGCAAAACCCCCTCTGCTCCATGAATTAAGTATCTGTATCATCCACTAAGCCCAACCACTCTTCTTATCCTTACAAGCATACACATTTTGTGTGGACTCTCCAAAACAGTTCCTCATCCTTTTACATTGCTTACATCCTTCAGGAACTCCACTTCTCCAGGGACTTCTAGAGAAACTTCATCCTGAAAGGTCATGGGTGATCATAAAACATCTAGCTTGGCAAGAAACAGATGTGGGGTGGGGGAGGTACTGTTTTGTAGCATAACTCTTTAGCGTGGTTAAAATACTATTTTCAGTCACGGGTGTGCCTCACTACACAGCTTAAAAACAAAGTAAGCCTAGAAGTTGTACTGAATGCTCAGTTGACAGTATCCGTGGAGGTTATCTGATTAGGCACCTTTGTCAGAAAGGGCATCCTGTGTTTCAGCACCTATTAAATTTGATCATGATTCCCTGGATACTTGGCATTAACAGGATGGGAAGATTTTTTTTAATGGCCTCATAAAGCATTTCTTAATCTGGTAAAGTAAGCAGAGGATGAAAAACCACCTGCTATTTTTTTCTGAGCTGTGGGGGTGGGGTGGAGGAAAATGTAAATAAGGAAAACAAATCACTGGTTGGTTCACACTTCATCAAGTGCCTAATAACTTGAAACGAGTTAATTATACACCCTTAAAATACATGTATATGAGAAATGATGTAGAACTAAGTTATTTTAATGGGCTACAAAATACATACCCTCATGACTTCTAATCTGGTGGTATTTAATTCTCCACATAAAATAGATATAAACCACTTCTCATGAAAAAAAGAACTTTTTATCCATGCCACAGGATTGGATATTTTTCCTCAGAGACACACATATATTGTAGCTCTTTGGTCGAAAAACAGGAAGTGCCAGCCATGAATTCACCAGGCACCTCTAGGCAAGCTATTACTCACTGACTTCAGTTGCTCCCACCTGCAAGGTAGGATTGAGAATAACCATCCTGCTCTAATTGAAGGATATAGCATACAGATTACTGAGATAATATACATGAAGTGCTCTGAGCACTTGAAATATATGGGGTGGTGGTGTTTAGCCAGTATTAGTTGGCCCATCAATTCCTTGTTGAGTTGTTTTGCAAGGTTTTCCCTACACTTATATATTCTGAACCAGTTAGGGCTGCAGATGATGTACCAGCCTAAGCTGTTTAAATGTTTTTCTGGACATAGCAGATGCCTGAGTTTCCCCAGCTAACACAAAGTCCTGGGGGGTGGGGCGAGGGGCTCCCTGCTTATGCACTTAAGAGTTTTCTGGAGAGTGCAATCTCCTCTAAGACTACTTAAAAAGCTCTAACCAGAGCAGTTAGCTCTCCAACTTCCAGGGCTTCCAGCTTGCTTGGCACATGAGGAAGAAGAATGGTTTATCCTTAGATACTATATTGGGGGACAGGTTGCAACTTTACCATCTGAAACTGCTTTTTGTAAAAGTCTTATCCCTGTCTTGCAACGTCCTATCAAGAGCTCTACTAAGCAAAAAGTAGCTTTGCAGTGTTTTTGGAAGCAGGATGGAGAAGGGTAACAAGCACAGCTGCAATAATTATTTACTTGGACATGGCAACTGACAAGTCCAACTGAGTTCTACGGGGCTTACTTTAAGGTACCTTGCCTACCCAACCCAGTAACCTGCAGAGCAGCCTTCTCCAGATGTATTAGACTACAATTCCCATCAATGCCAGCCAGATGAACTTAGCAATTATAGTCCCATATACCAATCTGGGAAAGGCTGATATCAGTAAAAGTTAGCAGTTCTGTCTTTAGCTTTATTGTCCTATCTTGTTTCATCAGTACACATTACATTTTATCATGTCTTGATTTTTTTAAAGGCACAAAGCTCTGTCTTCCTTACAAGATTAAAAAAGGAGATGGAGCTTTAGTGATACATTGGAGACAGCATAGGCAGGATCCTAACTTTCTCCTTCAGATTGGGGGGGGGGGGGAGAGAAATTCCAAAATGTGAAGAGCTAAGGTTAATTAGTAAAAATGTTTTAATAAATAAATAAATAAAATTAGTACTGTGCCAACATAGAGTATATCCAAAACGGGTTTGCGCTATGTTAATGATGCTTCTCTTCCATTTTGTAGGATTTTACTCAGATGTAACACAATCTTACCTATGTTCTATGAATCCCCTAGATACCACTATGCCTTACTTGACGAGATTCTTTGTTGTATTTACTTATAGTGAAATCCTATTCAAGTCTAGAGGTCAATGTATAATATTATGCATGATGTGGAGAAAGTGTCTAGGAAGAGACTTTTGTTCCCCTCTCAAAACAGTGATAATCACAAATCTGGACAGCTGTATAAGCTAACTGGGTAAATTCACTTAGGATTAAGTCTATGAATTGCTACTAGTCATGATGACTATTTATGACTACTGGGTCAGATCCAGCATGGGGGTGGTTCTGCTGTGTTCTAAATCAATGCACCTCTTCCTTACAGTATAATTCTATGCATGTCTACATTGCTCTGCTGGTTTCAATGGAAGCAACTATAAACTAAATGTATACTGGATTTTAGCCTTGGTTCTGTGTGTGCATTTTTAAAATAAATCACATCAGTCGGGGATTAAAACTGTTCCCTCAAGACTAATTGCATATCATTTATAATAACTAATTCGAATAAGAGGATGCTTTTTACCCACATCCCAGTTGCATATTAGCTCAAGCCTTTGCATGTGGTGCCCTCCAGATGTTGGAAGCATCCACTCCCAGCACTGGTCATGTTGGAGGCAGGTGATGGGAATTGTAGTCTAACACATCTAGAATGCACCGGGTTGGAAAAGACGTGTCTTTCAGGCATCGTGGGATGAAAATGCTTTCCCGGTCGTGTTTTTTCTTCGGCTCAGAATATGACAAGCTACCCTATTGGCTGCATAACTTTTAACCGCAGGAGCAAGCAGCAGCAAGCACAAGGAGCCATTTACCTACACAGCTGCGGCTAGTAGTCGTATGCAGGCAGGTTGAAGAGCGCACGCGCCCCACCCCACCATTCATAACACTCCTCCCCCTACCGCGGCTGGACTGGTGACGTCATTTTTGCCTGTCCAACGTGACGAGAGCGCCTCGCCCCTTTTTTCTCTTCCCCCTCCCGTTCGCGTTGTGTCAGCGCCGAAAAGCGGTGAGTCGACGCGCCGCAGTTACGCGAATGGGCTGGGGAGGGGAATGGAAGCGCTGGAGTGGCAGGAGTTCTACGGCGGCCCTTGAGGCTCAATTGCAGGAGCTTGATGTTCGCTGGCTGTTTTGGAAGGGAAAGCGGCGGGCAGGGGGAACCAGGGCGTCCTCTATGGAGGCTCCAGTGGGTAGTTGGGAGTTTGGTGCTGGTAGGTCCGTCGGAGCCGGGGTCGCTTGAAGGGCGGGGACCTTAGCAACATGCCTCTGGTGGTCGTGAGGGAGTTGTCTTCGCTCGCCTAGCCTGATCAGTCTCCCTTACAGCACCACCGGGAAGGAAGGAGAAAAAACTGGGCAAAGGGACCGGCGGCTTCTGTTGGCTTGCCTGTCCTCTTGCCCCTCGCTTGCTGGACCCTACTTTTGCAGGCGTGGAGACCCCAATCCTGATCGAGACCGCCTCCTTCCCGTCCACCCGTCTGCTAAAGCTAGGATCCCGACTTGTATGGGGGTCCTTGCACTTGCTTAGAGTAAGAAAAGGGGGGAGGTACTCGAGCTATGACTTCGAAAGTAACGAGAACTTTCTTTAAAGTGAGGCTGTTTGTGGCAAGCAAGAAAAACCCGGGGTTTCCCTTTACAGTAGGAACTGCCGGGTCTGCATTTGTGCTCCTTGCCCTTCTCTCTGCACAACACATTTGTGTGTATGTGGGGTGGTGGTAATTGGGTGTGGACCCAGTCCTACAACCCGCGGATAAATAGAAACCTCACACTCGCTCAGTAAGTGAAAATGCGACTGCTCTTTGATCCTTGTGCGTATAACGCACGTGTGCGCCCGATTCCTCCTTCGGGTGCCAAAGTAATGAAGGTTAAGCCTAGAAGTCCGAATCCTTTCTGTGAAACAACCAGAAAAGAGTCAGACCTGCGGAGTTCTTAGAAACAGTGTGTGATGGCCCAATTTTCCCAGCTCTGTAGCCTAGAGAAAAGGGGAAGGTGGGAAGCAAGATCAGGTAGTGGCCTTTTCTACAAGAAGCAGCGCCTGTTCTCTCTGTTCATATGCCTTCTCTGAGCAGACCCACTGTCTCCCGTTCTCTCTATCCTGCTACTGGAAGAGTGAAAGCAGGCAGGCTGTGCTTTCCTTTGAGGCAGCAAGTCAGGGCTGTAGCTACATTCGGCCCATAGTCTCTCAGGCCCTGAATCTATTTCCTACTCCCAGAGCCCTGAATGTTCACTGGTGCTAAAGGATGGTTGTCTTTGCAAAGCTTAGTTGCTGAGAAACAAGTGCTTTTCAAGGGGTTTTTCACCAACAGTTGTTCAGTGTTCAAGGCTGGTGAGCCTCTGGGACCTTGGCACCTGCCTGGTAAATGGAGCAGCCCCCTGATGCTTGCCCAGTTGCTATCTAATCATAAAGCTATAGAAACAGTTTAGTATGCACTGTAGGGATTTAATTTTAAATTCATTAATGGTGCAATCCAACATGACTTCCCACAGTCTTATAAATTCTCAGAGAATTAGTGACATCCTGTGGTTCAGGGAAGGCACATGGAGGTGAAGGTTGCCCCTGTAAAACATTTAGATGGTCAATTTTGGCTTTGTAAAGAAGGGAGACAAGGTACTTCCAGGTTAATGCATATGCTGGTGGAGACAGTCCTCCCCTTTCTGCCCCCTGCCCCCAGAATGCTGTACTCTGATGCCACTGATGGAGTTGCCATTGTCAGGGTTCTTTCCACTTTGACTGCAAGGTTGGAAGAACATCTTGACCTTGGAGTCCAAGCTCTAACACTGCAAATCTCGAAGATCAGAGCTGCGACTCCAAAAATCTCCAGAAGTTATAGGATTGTGACCAAAATTAAAATATAGTATTTATACAGGACCTATTTGTTTTAGCCCCTTAGTAATCAGTAAAAATGTTCCATATACAGGTTCTGATCTGTATTGGTGACAGATTTAACTGGTGCAGATGGCGCTTACAGTCTTTTTGCCAAAATCCCTCTTTAGCTTCATAGTTTCAAGATTTCAGACATCTGATTCACATAGTTGTGTTTTGAAATATTTAAATAGTTGCAGGGTTTTTAAATTTTTTTAAATATTCCTTCAGGCTTTGTTGAGTTTTAATATATAGATGCAACTCCTAAGCATTTATTTGGATGCTAAGAAAACTTATTTAATTGCTAGAATACACTTGACAGAAATTAAACAGAACTGGCAAGGAGAATATTACTCCAACATACAATAAATCCAATGTTTAGCTCCATATTGATTAGTTGCTAGTGTTTTTGAATGGGGATGTGGTATGAGGAGAAATTCAGAGAGAACCTTAGGGCTGAACTTGGGCTTCACATAACATTCAGAAGGCCTAAATGTAAAATAGGAAATAACTTCATAGACTTAAATTCAGCAACATCTTCCTTGAATACTGCCTCACAGTGTGTTTTTTCATTAGACACACAACAACTTCTAAAAAGGGTCTTATCGAGCTCATTGAAAAAACCTTATTGGTACAAATAAACTTGTCCATCTTTGAGAATACACGAGTCAGCTACTTGCTTAAAACAGCGATAAAAACACTACATCATTGCAAAGAGGGATGGCATTTCTCACTCTGTAACAGTAGAACAAATCATTAACTGGAGGTGGAGGAACAGCAACCAGAGGAAACAACAAAACTACTTTTGGCACTGAAATGGGCAAATTTGCGCACAGTTACCTCTTGATAAGTTGTTTGCCCGTATTCACCCTCTTGGTGGAGCTGCATGACAAGGTGAATACAAACTCAAGAATTGTAGCAAATTTCGTGGGATCCCAGTTACGAGCTACCTATTTACTTGTGACAAGTTTCCAGCTTTGGCGCTCTACCCTCACTGCATTTGTAATGGAATAATACAGGTGATGGTTATTAAGAGAGATTATTCAGATTATGTTGAACACTTACAGGAACAATAAATACATATGGAGAAAGACTGCTGCACATCCCAGATCATCTAGCTGCCTGTACAAATTTCTTTATGTGCACAGAAAAACAGCAGCCATTCCAAGACTACCTTTGCCCCATTTTTCATGCAAGTTTCAGACTGGAACACTGCATTTCAAAACACTAATCAGAAAAATACCTCTGAGTATGTGCAAAGTGCTTTTATCTCCCATATACTATCCTATTTACCCACACATTTGGTTGGGGGGGGGGGTAGGACAGGCTTTCCAGAGCAGATAGTGGCCAGTGCCACATAGCATATCCTTGGATCAACTTCATTGCAGCTCTTTCTCTTCTTGAAAGCAGTAGCAGTTAAGGCTATGCTTCCAAGTAACATGGTTGGCAGTAGGTCTCTTGGACTCCTCAGAAGCTCTTGTAAGTATGGTCAATGATCTGGCTTGCTGGGAGTGGAAATCCAGCACCTCTCTATCTAATTTCTGCTCACCATTCTAGTATATTTGGCCTGGATTGCTAAAGTTGCTTTAATAGAATGGGGAAGGAAGTATCATGTCAAAAAATGAGATGAACCTCAAAAGGTGCTGGAAATACATTTTTTTAAAACTTGTACCTGATTTGTGTATGCACAGTGCTTTGCAGTAGTATGGACCACCTTTGGCTTTCCACATTTTGTGTTAAAACCTACAACTGAAAATGATTTAATTGGCATTGTTGCCATTTAATATACACAAGATGCTCAACAGTGTAAAAGAGTAAAATATATTTTCTTGCAGCACAAAAATAAAAACAAGCAGAAATATTCACCCATCTGATCTTTTTTTGGTAGAAGCACCTTTGGCAGCAATTAGCTGTGATTCACCTTAGATAAGTCTCTGTCAGCTTTACACATTTGGATTCTGAAATGTTTGCCCATTCTTCCTAACAAAATTGTCTTCAGCTCTGTCAGGTTGGGTGGGAACCTTTGGTTTACAGTGACTTTCAAGTCTTGCCACAGATTCTCAGTTGGACTGAGGTTTGGGCTTTGGCTGGGCCATTCCAAGGCATTCAAGTACTTGTATTGTTCCAGTGTCACGTTCTTTGCCTGTGCGTTGAACATTTTTGCCATGCTGGAAGGAGAACGTCCACCCAAGGCCCAGGATGCAGACTTGAAACAAGCTTTCAATAAAAAATGTTTTGTATCTGGCTTCATTCCCACAACATGTTGCTGCCACCACATGCTTTACCAGTAGGATGGTGTTTCCAAGGCAATGAGCATTGTTTGCTTTGCACCAATTTGCAGCAAGGCTCAAAAGATCATTTTGCAGCAAGGCTCAAAAGATCAGACCAGGGAACCTTTTTCCATATGTTTGCCATGTGTGCCACATGCTTTTTGGCAAAGTCCAGATGGACTTTCATATGGGTTTCAGCAATGGCTTTCTTTTCACCACTCTTCCTTAAAGCCCAGCTTTGTGGAACAGCCAGGTGATAGTTGTCCCATGGACAGTTCCTTCAGTCTGAGTTGTGAATCTCTTAAGCTCTTTCAGAATTACCAGTGGCCTCTTGCTTCCTTTTCTGAGTAAGTTCCTTCTTTCTTGGTCACTGAGTTTTGATGGACAGCTTTGTAGGGTTTGAATTGCACTTGAAGCATATTCTTTCCCTTTTGTAATAATAGATTTAACATTGTTCCAAGGGATGATCATACTTTGATTTGGGATTTTTAAAAAATGACTTACCCCTAGTTAGTGCTTATCTTGGAGCTCTTTTGATAGCTTTTTGGTCTTCCTGATTTTTTTAAGGTAAGTTCTCCAACAAATCCTGCATATTTAATCTGAGTTCATGTAGGACGGGAATTGCACACAGGAACTATATTCTTACACTATAAGCTGCCTTGTGTCAGCTTGCACCTGGAAAGTGGATACTATGTAAACAAACTTCAAAGACCTATAAACCACTACATTGTTTAAGATTGTAATTGACGGTCCTGTTATATTTCCTACCACCTAGAGCAGGAGTGAATGACATGTGACATGAACTGCATGCACCCCCTCCCCCCACATCCCTGTTGGGACTGCAGCATCTCTGGCCCCAGCCCCATTTCCTTAACATCT